TCCTCATAGCAAGCCTCTTTTTTTAATACTATTTATTTGCCATGTTTCCATCAGATACACCAGGTGCTCTTCTTTGAGTTGCATTTCTGACTTACTGAAAAAGCAGAATCTACAGTACAATAGAGATGCACAGAAAACCGGACAGAATATGTGGTCCAGACATTAAAACAAGTAAAACTAAGTAACAAGCAAAAGGAATCAAAGCTCAAGGGTTGAATTTATTTCATATATATTGACCTGGTTTTGAAGACCTTGAAACTGACTGAATTCCATGGTGGTCAGATAAATGGTAAAAGGGGATGAATCCATTGAAGTTTGGACTTTGGTTTGAAAACTCGCTGTAATGAATAAAAGCAAGTTGACTATGGAGCCGCTCAAGGATTGTTTGCTGAACCTCAGTGGGGAATGTATGTGTGATTTCCAACTGAACTCTGGGACTTGGTTTATTGAAATGCACTTTTCATTACCACCAATAACTTAGGTTCTATATTAATACTGTGAAAGTATCAAAGCCTCAGTCCACAGAGAAATGCACACAGCCTGTATTCAGAAACTGAGCCTTAAAACCAGCCGTCAGGACTTCTGCAACTTTGTGATGTCACAACAAAGCAGTCGCTGCTCTCAGCCATGCCCCAAGCCCCGCCCACCTGGACCCACCAACCACCTGGCAGGATTTGGTTTCTCTGAGTGTTCAAAATAAAACACTGGAGAAGAGGAAAATATGGAGCTTTAAGGGTTATAACTTACTTAGTGAATAAAAACAAATCTCATTACAATGCTAATTTCCTGTAGGCTTGAAAAGTAAAAAGTTAGTTATAGCCATTTAGATTTGTGTTGTATGAATTAAACCACATAAAGATCCGATATGTACAGAAATACACAGTACAGTAGACACCACTCATACATACACAAGTACAGATACACACACTAATGCATATTATAACAAAGCCTCTGAAACCCCTTGACCTCTCCTCTCTGTCTGTCTGACCTTTGACCCTGATATATGCTTGAAGCTCACACGCATGTACTTTACAATGTGGAATAACATGGTCTCTGTCCAGCCTGTCAGCTGTTCAGTGTTTGGTCTTCTGTCTCCAGTCCCAGACGTCAGCACTGACTCAGTCTGTAACTGGTGACATTTATTCCATGGAAGACTTAGCGCTCCTGGGAAATGGTGTTTGTAATAGGATGCTGATGCTATTATAATGTTATGTAAGGTTATGCTCTCATTTAAAGTTATTAAATCAGTGTGATTTTGAATGAGGTTCTTACTGCAGGACCAGAACCTTGGTCTCTAGATCAGTGAGGACACTTACTGATCTAGAGACTCATTTACAGCTCGCTCTCACTCTCTCTTCCTCTCCTCCGTCTTCCATCTTTCCAGTCAGTCAGTTGTCAATCACTCAGTCGGTTGCTTCATCTCTCTGTTGGCCACTCTGTGTTATTGGAATTGATCTGAACACTTCAGTTCCTGCACAGAAGGAGCCAAATACACCAATACCTCATATGCTCGATCAATACATATCAGCATTCTAACACTTGGATACATACAGCATGCAGACAGAGCACAAATCACTGTATAATATATACATGTCAAGTAGAGAGAAGTGCAGTTTAGCCGTCTCCACAAACACACACACACACATATGGCTGCTGTGTGTCAGGAAGATCTGTTTCATCTGCTGCAAGCCCAGATCCACAAACACTTTTCTCCGCTATGAGTGAAAAGAGCGTTTTCTGCTCTTTTTTTGGAGGTTTTAACCTTTAGTGACCTTTGCGTAAAACCAGCCCGGCTCTGCAGTGTTTGTTAACTGTAAAGCTGAAAGTGGAAGTGTGGGGAGGGTCAGAAATTTAGTGTTTTGCATTTTCTATGTTGTAGTAGTGGTGTAGTTTCTATATGTTCTGTTGTCTTTGTGTTTTGAGCATTTAATCCAGTCATTCTTGTTATTAAACCATGATATGTACACAATCCTCTAGTCACAGTCAAATCTCTTACTCTCCATACATATATAAGAGGTTAATATTCAGGGACACTGTGTATGTTCAGTTTTCTGCACTTGAAGCTCCAGACACAAAGCTGAATGTTCACTCCATGTGAAGAAACACATCCTTCTTCTTCTTTCAAATTTATTATCTTCTGAATAACAGAAGATGTGTTTAGGAGTATGTTATGAAATAATCAAAGAGATGCAGTACAATCCGCTTATGAATATAATGTTCTTTACCCTGAGCCAGTGCTGTAACCATAAGTGCAGTGCTGCCGGAGCGCACCAGAATGAGGCTCCGCCACTTTTTTTTTTGTCCAAATGATGAAATAAAATATCTGCAGTTCACATTATCTGGTTGTAGAGAGCTGATAAAAACAAATGAAATGGTCAAAGTTGTCATTGACATTTAAGGTGTATCGATTGATTTCCAAATGTCAATCATACATTGCACATAACACGCAAGAAAACATTCCACCTTAAAAGTAGCCGGTAGCTGCCGGTAGCCTCTGAGCTGCTCGGTGAATTAAAACATTCAGTAAAGATGAAAAGACAGAAAACATTCATCATTCATTCAAATGAAAGCTAGCTTAGATGGGTTTTCATAGCCTAGCTGTTAGCTTAGCTTGATCCCTGCCTGCAGCTTTTCCTCTGAATGGATGTTTCCAATGTGGCTTCATTTGCTCGACACAAAATCAGTGAATGAAACAATTAAAAATGCAAACTAGTCGTGTTCATTCACCTGCTGCAACCTGCTGTAACACTATGATCACATGATCACACATCATGTGATCATAGTTCACTGATGTATGTATACTTGTCACCATAGGAATATAGGAACAGTGGTTATATAACCTTTGAAATGAGCCACAGCTTAACCATGCAGGTGAATAGCACTACACCTCTGGCTGTAAAACAGTATATTCATGAATATTCTTGTAGCTTGAAGATGTATGTGCCATGAGCAGTAGTTTTATGAAGGCTCTGCTGGTTGCCTGGCAACCTCATGATGACTAAAAGACTTATTCGGAAAAGAAAGAGAATATGCACATTTTCTTTTTTTCCTTTCGTTTAACTAAACAAAAAGTTGTGTAAGTTTTTAATTACTTTCAGGGTTTGGTTAATATTATATTTTGATAATTACACATCTTCAACACAAAGTACACATAACAACACTCAATGAAACAGAGGGAAGAATGTATGATTTTGCTAAAGATGAGTCCTGATCAGGTTTTGGTTTGAAAAATATGACTTTAATTTCACTGGGCGACATCTTATAAATTTGGACATGGACTGTGACGACACTGGATCTAGAAGAGGAACCTTGTTGTGAACGAAATCCCTGAGTAGACAGACACATCTCCAGACAGAGATAAATGGTTCTGTGGGTTCTTGTGGTGTTCAGTGGCAGATCTGCGCTCTCCCACTGAGCCTCCCCGTCATAAAGCGAGCACACAGCAGGCTCAGGCACAGATGTTTTCTTGTTTGCTGCTTGTTTGCGGTGGTAAAGGGCCTGTGGTGAGAGCGCTCATCAATACGTCTGCTCCTCTTCAAACACGCCCCATTGTCTGAACCCCGGCTAATGCAAGAAAAGGAGTTGGTATTATCCCCTGCCGCCTCCTGCTGTGACATTTTTACAAGCATCCGTATACGAAGCCCCTGTGATTTTTTTTCATAGCTTCTGTCAGGCTAGCTGGCTAGCAGCTGGTTGCTGGACTGGGTCGGAATTCAAATGACTGATGTCCTGCCAAGGCCACACATCTCAAAATCAGCAAGATGTTGCATGCTCAGATGGATGCTAATGGAGGTGCTGCTCGCCGGGCAACACGGTCGGGACGTCTGGGTTCAATGTGAATGAGGGAAAAGCTGACATGTGTTTTAATGGGAAAGGTGTTTATGCGTGTGGTGTGCAGGGTGTCTGCTCTGAGACTCACAGATGGATGCATGTTCATCTTTTTTTGTTTGACTACTGGTCAGTCCCAAACTAGTTTCAGTGTTCTTCAGTGGCCTCCCCAGTCATCAGGGGCATCATTTATAAAACGTTCATGCGTAGGAGTTCAGACTAAAAGCAAATGTGTGCACAAAAGCTGAAATTCAAAATTATCAAAATGTTTCTGTGCATGGGTCATAGTTTGCGTACATGTGTGCATGTTCTCCCATCACATTTGTTTTTATCAAGCATCAACTTCCTAGGCTGAAACATGAAGCCAACACTGAAGAACCAAAACCTGCAGTTCTTCTAATGACCACTAGAGTCTGGCTCCAACAGTGAGTCAGTCTCCATAGACTCCCATGTTAAAATGTCCAACTTCACAGCAGAAATAAACATGTCTACAGCCTGGTACAAAAAAAAGTTTTGGTCTCTAGAGCTAATTTCCTCCTTCATGACACCTGTTTATATAACTCACCTGTTTACATTTTTATTAAGGACTAAAGTTATGGGAATTGAGGTGTGGCCGCTTTGATTAACAGGTGGATGAGTGTATGTTTGGCACAAACTGTCATGCGCTGAAGTCTCGGCTCACCACATGCCCCTCCTCTTTTCCCATTTATGGATTAGCTGGGAGTTAGGAGCGGAGTCAGGTACTGGCAAGGTGGCGACGGTGAAACAGCTCACTCTGAGCTTCAAACCTGCTCTTCAGAAACCTGTGGGTGACATCACAGAGGCTACGTCCATCTTTATTTATAGTCTATGGTTTTCATACATCATAGCTTTTGTGTGGGAAATGGCGGATGCCTCTTTCAGGCCCTGTTTTGTGCCTGAAACAGTTATAAATGAGGCCCCAGATCTGGATGCAGTACACCACCTTTGGGACATGGTAGAACAGGAAATTAGCAACTGACAAATCTGCAGAGATGATGTCGACATGGAGCAGAATGTCAAAGGAAAATTTCAAAGATCCTGTGGAGCAAATCAAGGCTCCACCCAGTATTCATATGGTGTTCCTAATAAAGTGCACACGTTTAAATGGAAGCTAAATCAAATGAAATAAGGGTATTGTTCTTGTCTTCTAGAGAGTCAGAGTGTAGAGGAGTGCGGGGAGAGGCTTAAGAGGATCCTGGAGTCTCCCAGCATCCCTCAGGCCAACTACCAGCTGCTGCTCCACCTCAGCAGACACCTGGCCCGGGTCAGCCAACACAACCAGACTGGCTCCAGGCTCCTGGGACAGGCCTTCGCCGAGGCCGTCTTCAAGCATTCCACTCTCAGGTACGGCTCATTTATTCATCTTAACTTTGGTTTGTTTACGATTGGCTGGCAGGTGTCCTCAACTGTTAGATGATTTCAGACATGGTGAAAGTCGGCTAACCGCGGCTCATACTGACAAAAACACTGTGAAACACTGAGGATGATGTAAACACAGCATGAGGCCATGATATAAGAGAGAGAATATATTTTCAGGTGTAAGGAAAACAGCTCGTGGCATTGTTTACCTCCACACCATGCATTATTTTCTTTGATCAGGACACCTTGTTGTGTCTCAGTGCATACTTAATGTCTCTCATTTTCGCTTCTTTATCTATTCAAATTCAAATGAGGTGCACATGTACGGTTGATTATCACAGAGTCCATCTCTGGGGGGACAGAAACAATGACACTTCCCTCAAGCAGGTAACAGGAAAAATGGAGCAAAACCTTGAGTCACAGAAGAGAGAACCCCCCCCCCCCCCCCCCCCCCTCTCAACCACCAGATCTGGAAGGAATTTCCCCGACTGTGAAATCCCAATTCAAATCAGAATGTTCTTTTCATTAATATCCCCAGTGTTACCTCAGCATAGAAACACAGGAGTCTCCTGGATGATAAAATCATAAATTCTGGCTGCCACGTTTGTATTATTTCAGCTTTGTTTCTGAGGAATCATGTTTCTGTTTAGTGGATGCTCTGAATACTATGATACTCATGACCTTAGCTGGCATTGCCATGGATAAGAAGCCAGTCAGAGGCATGAATCAGTTTGCAGCAAATTCAAAACACTCATTCAAATATGGAACAAAACACTGAACCATAAGTCGCCCAGAGCAGACCCGTACACCGAGATGGAACTGATTTAAAGTAGCTATCTCGAAGATTTTCATTAAAAAGCATGAGCCTATTACCCATTGATGAAATTATGTAGAAGTTCTTGCATTTTACAGTTTTATGAACTGGGTGTCTGGTGTGACTCACCCGCAAAATCACAAGCAACATGAGTCACAAGCTGCATCTCAGCTCAGGGGCGGCATCCTTCAGAGGCTGCGTTTGAAGACTGATTGCGTCAAAGTGGGACAACTATGGCTCTTTCATACGTGGCCGAGAATTGCGTTCTTCTTTTCCTTCCAGTGGGTGGATCCTTCGTTGCCCAAGTGTTGCTAAGCGATGGAAGCTGCAGTTTGTGATGCAACGGTAAGGGTGACGCAAAGTAGAAATCATTCGTAGGATGCGGCCCCTGAACTGGGACACAGTTAAAGTTAGTGACGAGTTCTGGCAGAAATCCTGCATGATGGTTCAACAACAAACCTGCAATTACCACTTATCACCACAGGTGTCGCCAAAGATAACAAAACAGAGATCTTCGAGATTGCTGAATGTCTTATCTAGTGTAATCCTTAGCATTAGCATGCCATTAGCAGATTACACATCCAAAATGTTCAGTGACTGGATGTTTTTTTCTGAAATGCACTATGGGAGTTGTAGTTTAACTTTTCTCCTACAGTTTTTATGTCCACAGGCTTGTACTTTTGACTTTTTCTCTCAAAGAACCAGATATTTTCTAACACAGTTGTTCATCTTTTGTGCAGTCAAATAAACATGATATATTTCTAAAACCCTGGACACTCAAAAAAAACCTCTCCCATATTGGTACTCTTTAGGTGGTGATGGGGAATTCAGACACGAGTGCTGTGTAGTATAACACAAGCATAGCACATAAAGGAAACTGTTTCTAATTATGAGATAGCACTTTTAAGAGGCAGAGCTAATTTAAAATCAAAAGTCTAATTGCCTGGGAAAATGTCATTTCTCACATTTTGTTCTGTACATGTTTCATGGCTTTTTATATAAAATCTGAATTCAAATCAAAACATGAAAGCCACAAATGATAAGGTACTTCCCACACAGCTGTGAAATGTCATTCACACTCTTTGGCATTTCAACCATTTCTTTATTCTTTCCATTTATTGCGTAAAACCATTGATTATTCCAGCCACAGCCACTACTCTTGCAAAAAGTCCCACAGCATCTGGGTGGGAAGGGTATTCCCGTTTCATTCAGCATTTGTGAGACAGCTAGCCAAAGAGCTGGAAAAACATCCTGGCTGGATGTTGTTTCACTTTTTGAACTTGTCTTGATCCAGAACAAAGACCAGTTATTTTTGTAGTGATCCCTGCCCTCACTAACAGGAGAACCTGTAAGCATGATAGTTGGCTCATGTTATAACATCAACATCCAGAAGTTTAAGAGCTAAGAGAATGGCATCAACGGGGCTGGATGGTACTTTTTTTGTTTCTCTGCACCCTGCACAACCTCGTCTGCGTCTGTTTTTCCAGAAATTACCAAGGAATTTCTCCCTGTGGCGGCGTGTGTGTGTGTTGTGGAGATGTAGTGAAATTGGGAAGGAAGTAAGTGAGTCAGAAGTGGTGATTGTTTGCGTAGCTGGGTCAACCAATTCACCTATGACGTACACAATGGGCGGGGAGAGAGTGGGGCGGTGTGTCATAGCATGCCATGCTATTTGAACGAGATCCCGTGTTAGAATATTTCATCTCTTTTTTTCATCTATGGAAATGTATTTGTATAGCACCTTTCATTCAAGAAATGTCGCACAAAGTACTTTATAACAAAGAAATGACGTGCACCAAGTGCGTCACATGAAAAGACATAACATGAACATAAAAACACATTAAAAGCATTGATCTAAAATGAGATAAAAATAATAAATAAGAAAAGAATTCATTAAATAAGAAGACATTTAAAACAAGTGCTGATCTGTACATGTGTATGTGAAATGGTATGGTATATGAAAAAGTTAATGTTTTCATTGGTCAGTGTTCATGCTGTGTTGTTGTTTTTGTCGACAGTGCGGACGTGAACCCGGAGCATCACATCAGGATCTTGGAGGCTCTGATTGCAACAGGAGGTCTCATGGAGATGCAGGCTGCACCAGGTAGGATAATAAACATGCACACACACTCATACACCACATGCATACACTCTTATTCTTTCTCTTAGCAACCATCATATTTGTTTGTAGATGTGTGAGTATGTTGTGGCAATGTGATTTCCCTTGGCTTGGATTTTTTGTTCCATATCTCAACACACACACACACACAGACACATGCAGTTGAAATGTTCTGCTCAGTGGCTGAAGTTTGTTCCTCAAGTGCAAGTTTCTCACACTGGAAACATGACATTCCCTCCCCCCTCCCCGCTGCACCGCAACTGCTGCCGAAAACACACGTTTGGTTTGTGAAATATGTGGAAAACACAAACTTTTCTTTCGCCTGAGTTGCTGTGGTAAATTGGGCATGAAGCGTGACATCAACAGCTTTAACTTTGTCCTCTGTTAGTTCAGTTTACAACCTCGATGTACGGAGAGACCAAACATGGTGGTTATTCCTCTTTTTCATTCCTGTTTTAACAGCAGAGGGCGAGGGGATGAATGTGAACGTGGCATATCTGGTTTTGTGCATATGGACTGTTTAATGTACACTTTAGAAAATCCTCAGACCTCAGCATCAGTTCTACTGAAGCTTAAAAAAAACAGCATCATTTCTTAGAACAGAGGGCTTTGAGCCAGAGAAGGAACATGTGATTTTAACTTTGAATAAAACCAAAAGTGGCCCACTGATATGAATTGTTTGTGTTCATCACAGTGACCTCACAGAGGAAAAATTTGACATTTTACTCCTTTCTAGTTGAGATTACTCACTTCCAAAGAAAAAGTAAAAGCTTTTGAAAGAGTAAAAATAATTTTGGTGTCAGACACCATAATGCCAAAATTGGATGTTAATTCTGTCATGATTCTTAAAAAGACATATAATTTTGGATGGAACATTTTTGATTGCACCTAAACTGTGACACTTGTTTGCACTATCTAATTAGTTACTGAAAATACAGAGTATATTTTTTGTAATGGAAAAAATCAAGATATATGTACAAACGTTCCTTGAGGCCTGTACATACAGTGCATCCGGAAAGTATTCACACCCCTTCACTTTCCCCACATTTTGTTATGTTACAGCCTTATTCCAAAATGGATTAAATTCCTTTTTTTTCTCATCAATCTACACACAATACTCCATAATGACAAAGCGAAAAATGTTTTTTAGAAATTTTTGCAAATTTATTAAAAATAAAAAAACTGAAATATCGCATGTACATAAGTATTCACATCCTTTACTCAGTACTTTGTTGAGGCACCTTTGGCAGCGATTACAGCCTCAAGTCTTCTTGGATATGAAGCTACAAGCTCGGCACACCTGTATCTGGGGTATTTCTCCCATTCTTCTCTGCAGATCCTCTCAAGCTCTGTCAGGTTAGATGGGGAGCGTCGCTGCACAGCTATTTTCAGGTCTTTCCAGAGATGTTCAATCAGGTTCAAGTCTGGGCTCTGGCCGGGCCACTCAAGGACATTCACAGACTTGTCCCGAAGCCACTCCTTCATTGTCTTGGCAGTGTGCTTAGGGTCGTTGTCCTGTTGGAAGGTAAACCTTCGCCCCAGTCTGAGGTCCTGAGCGCTCTGGAGCAGGTTTTCATCAAGGATCTCTCTGTACTTTGCTCCGTTCATCTTTCCCTTGATCCTGACTAGTCTCCCAGTTCCTGCCGCTGAAAAACATCCCCACAGCATGATGCTGCCACCACCATGCTTCACCGTAGAGATGGTATTAGCCAGGTGATGAGAGGTGCCTGGTTTCCTCCAGATGTGACGCTTGGCATTCAGGCCAAAGAGTTCAATCTTGGTTTCATCAGACCAGAGAATCTTGTTTCTCATGGTCCTTTAGGTGCCTTCTGGCAAACTCCAAGCAGGCTGTCATGTCCCTTTTACTGAGTAGAGGCTTCCGTCTGGCCACTCTACCATAAAGGCTTGATTGGTGGAGTGCTGCAGAGACGGTTGTCCTTCTGGAAGTTTCTCCCATCTCCTCAGAGGAACGCTGGAACTCTGTCAGAGTGACCATCGGGTTCTTGGTCACCTCCCTGACCAAGGCCCTTCTCCCCCGATTGCTCAGTTTGGCTGGGTGGCCAGCTCTAGGAAGAGTCCAGGTGGTTCCAAACTTCTTTCATTTACGAATGATGGAGACCACTGTGCTCTTCGGGACCTTCAATGCTGCAGAAATGTTTTTGTACCCTTCCCCAGATCTGTGCCTCGATACAATCCTGTCCCGGAGGTCTACAGACAATTCCTTTGACTTCATGGCTTGGTTTCTGCTCTGACATGCACTGTCTACAGTGGGACCTTATATAGACCTGTGTGTGCCTTTCCAAATCATGTCCAATCAATTGAATTTACTACAGGTAGACTCCAATCAAGTTGTAGAAACATCTCAAGGATGATCAGTGGAAACAGGATGCACCTAAGCTCACTTTTGAGTGTCATAGCAAAGGGTGTGAATACTTATGTACATGTGATATTTCAGTTTTTTATTCTTAATAAATTTAATAATAAAAGAATTTCTAAAAAACCTTTTTCGCTTTGTCATTATGGGGTATTGTGTGTAGATTGATGAGGAAAAAAAGGAATCAATCAATTTTGGAATAAGGCTGTAACATAACAAAATGTGGGGAAAGTGAAGGGGTGTGAATACTTTCCGGATGCACTGTATGTCCACTTGTACAACAGATGAGTCTGATGCTGAGGTCTAAGAAATGCCCTAATCAATGAGGCTGTATGAGGACGAGGGAAAGGTCAGACAGCAGGTGTGTGGCTGATTGCAAGGGCCAAGCCAGTCTGCTGAGGTCACTGTCTGAGGGTCAGTGCATGTTTGTGTGTGTAAATGTCAGTAGGTCAGTGTGTGTTTGTGTGTGTGTGTGTGTACGATGTTGTACTGGTCTGTTGAGGGCCACGGTGTTCGGGCTGGGGTTGAAACATCGGTCGTAGCAGTGATTATAGCGGTGGCTCAGGGGTTATGTGTCCTTTATATGGAGCGGTGGTGTTCACTCGGAGATGACATTGGAAAAGGTCGCTGGACTAGTGAACAGATGAAAGTGAGATTTATGGTTGAAACACGACCGGACAAGGACAAAATCAGCTTCATCCAACACTGAAGGGATAAGCAGGCTGGATCTCACCTATGACTTTTCTTTGACCTCATTTTGTTTGACCTTTGACAGAGTAAATCACGACCCAGTGAATAAACAGCTTCATTATGTGATTATTATTAATCTAACAGCCCTGAAGTTGTTCATTTTTAATCTTAGAGTCAGAGCCTATTTAGTTAAATTGCTTAATTTTTCAAATGCCTTAGCTAGTATCTGCTGTGGTGTCCCACAGGGAACCATTGCAGGTCCTGTGCTTATTGTTCCAGTAATACATCAGATGATTGGTTAAAATTAAAAGGAATGTTTGGAGTTTTGCTGATGATACTCTGTTTACTATTACTACTATACTATGTCACTTCATGGACTTTCTCCAAATATTCAGTGTGATCTGTCATTCTAAAAATCTGTAATTGGACATTAACTTTTGACATCATAGTTCCATTTTCTTTCGGAAATGGTGAAATGATTTGCAGCCACCCTGATTACACCTAATTAATTTGGTGTGGTTATCCTCAAGGTTTTTGGTGTTGTGAATGGTTTATGATTTGTCAATGCTGTATCTGTAATTAGCTTATATCCTTCAGGCTACAGCCACATTACTACATTTTCATTTTAAAACATCTCTTTTGCTATGTTTTAATGCTACAGCTGTATTTCCTGTACCTTGTTTGTAGTATTTTTTGCAACTAACCAACTGCAGAGTAGACAATCTGCCTCCTGTTTTCACCGGCTCGCACATGCTCAATGTACGTGATTGCTCGTCTGGACTCGTCTGTTTTAAAATGAAAAGAGTAGTGTGGATATAGCCCCAGGATGCAGAGTGTGTTCTGTAGCCTGCAGTTCTGTATTAGCCTTTACCTATTAGCTTGATGCACCATGGTACATATCTGTGGTACAGATTCGTACACTGCCGTCTGGATTTGAATTGTTTGCCCTGAAACATTTCAGCACCTTGCAGTGCAGGTCTCCAAAAACATTGAGATGTTCAGCTACTTAATGGGTCAAGGTGTGTGTGTTCAGCTCAGGTTGCTGTTTCAGTGGCTGTATGTGTGACTGAGCTTCTCTATGTTTGATGAATGCAGAGAGAGAGAGAGAGAGAGTGAGAGAGGCTAAAACAGAGAGGTCAGGTTCATGTGTGAGCATTTTTCTCACCCATTACCTCCCCTGCCACCCCTCCAGACAGCATTAGTGGAGGTCAGGGGTCACCACAGTGCCTGTTGGCGGTATGTTAACCCCTTAACAAAGGTTTGCGAGTGTGTGTGTGTCTATGTTCATGCTTGTTGACCTCTCAGGAGAGCTCCTCTCCCAACCTGCTCTCCAAATGGAGTCTGAATATACGACCAGTCCTACTCCACCTGAGTGCTCCAGCTCAGCGTCTGTGTGTGTGTGTATGTGTGTGTGTGTGTGTGTGTGTGTGTGTGTGTGTGTGTGTGTATGTGTTTGCGTGTGTGTGCACATCACTTGCCTGTGAAGCTTTGGCCTCGTGCAGCCGCTCTGTGAGCTTGCACGCCAAAATCAGAAGGAAAAAAAGGGAGGATTGTAAACTCCCAAACACACCCATTCACATTCTGGCCCTCTCTCTCTCTCTGCTTTTGTTATGAGCTGTTTTCCTTCCCTGGCACGCAAATCGTGCCCGCAGCTTGGCAAGAATATGACATACACTCACACACTTACACACACTGTCATTTTCTCCACACGCTGCTTCTCTCTCTCAGACCGTTTGTTTGGCTGCTGATGGAGCCGAGGAGGGTACGGTGGTAAACTCTGCTCACATCATCACAGCCCTCATCATGTTCATCCTTGTTCTTTCCATGGAGAGCATTGCTTTATTACTAGCTAGGTTTCAGATGACATTTGTGTATCTTGTTTGTGGTTAGCTTAGTTTAGCATAAACAGGAGCGATTCCAG